AAAAAAAAAAACTTAATAAAAAAAAGAAGAAAGAAAGAAAGAAAGAAAGGAAAACAATACAGTTTTCAAAATGTTTCTTTTGGAGAATATAACCCTAAGATAAAGGAACACCAAATGATGGAGGTTTTGCAGCATGGTCGAACACAAAGTGATCTATACTTCTTAAAATCTTCTCCTTTATTTTGTTCATAACTACTCCCTTTGTAGGATTTCTCAGAAGGAAGTCACTGATGACAAGTGAAAAGGAATAAAAATGGCTTTGAAAGAAATTCCAGAAATGCCGGTTTCCAATTAGACAATGAATTAAATGGTTCCCAATTTCAAAAAGACTCTGGTTTTTATTTACGTATTTATTTTTAATTAATAAACTCTACTTTTTAGAGCAGCCTTAGGTTCACAGCAAATCTGAGTGGAAAGCACAGAGATTCCTATATATTCAATTTGTCCCCAGAATACACCAAATCCTCACTACCAACATCCTACACTACAGTGGTTCATTTGGTAAAATCTGTGAACCTAGACTGAGACATCATTACTACCAAAAGTTAGCTTACATTAGAAAAGGCTGTTTTCTTGAAGTTTCTTTACAAAGTAGTTTTTTAAAAAAAACTTGGGGGGAGGACAAGCAAGTGGCATAGTAGTTAAGGCTCTGAACACTCTCACGTGGCCGACCATGGTTTGAGTCCCGGACCTGGTGGCTTGCTTTCTCACTTTCTCTCTCTCTCTCTGGTCAAATTAAGAAATATGAATGAATAAATAAAACAAATAATTCTTAAAAAAAAAAAAAACACGGGGATATATTTTCCTATAACATAAGAAAATAGTATTATATTAGTATTATATTTTCAGTTAGGTTCCAAGGCAGCTCACAGAAGCCTTCTACCTGACTCATAGCTAATCAGAATTAATATGGTGGGAACCAGCAGTTAGCGTAATGGCTATTTCGCTGGACTCCCACGTAGTCGACCGCGGTTCACGTCCCGTACCCGGTGGCTTAAAACTCACGCCGGGCGTGTGTGCGTGCGTGCCCAAGGTCCCGAGAGGAGAATGGAGGAGAAGGGATTGCGGCGTGACCATCCCCCCTGGGGGGGGGGATTTTTTGCTTTCTGTCTCTCTGTCTCTCTCTGTCTATCTGGCAAGTGCACGCACCCTATAGCGAAAACCTCTAAAAAAAAAAAAGAATAAATATGGTACTAACAATGAAACAGAGAGCATTCTCTCCATCAATGACATATACAAACTGGGCTTTTTTTTTTAATTCCTGGAAAATATATATATATTTTTTTTAATTGCACATCACTCCTTTATTATACTGATCTGGCAAATGTTAGTAGTTATGCTCAACATGAGTACTGGGCCCACGTGACAGGACCACACAACTAGGACATGATTCAGAAATAAGACACAGTAAGGCACGCTTGAATGTGATCAGAAGGCATTTTGCTGCTGCAAAACAAGGGGGAGAGGTCTAAAATACACAGCAGGATACACTCCTCCTTGAAGTCGAGGAGCCTATCCCAGTCTGTGTGAGTAATAGCTTATCTTCTGGCGACCACTGTGGGACCACTTCAGTCACCACTAGGAACCCCAGAAGGGCTTTTGTTTTGTGTTATTTATATATGTATATATTTCTCTTTTTTTTTTTTTTTTTTGTAAAAATGCAACACCTTAAATCAGGATTGATCCCAGTCTTCTGGAGCCAACTTGAGAATCAGAAGGAAGCCGTCGTGTTTTGCGTCTTTAATCACCATGCGCTTTCTATCATCTTCCACTGGAATGACTAGTGCCCGTCAGGGATCTGCCTCCAGAAAAGCACAGGCCTGGTCCCCGGGAACACAAACAGGCTGTCTGACTTCTCGGTGGCTTTGCCTTAGCATGGTTCCTCCCTAGCCCTACTCAGGCAGGTCCATAGTAAACAAAGCTCTAAAAAACCCGAGTGACCGCCTCTCACTCTCAGGTAAGAGGAACCTTCCCTCAGCTTGGACTGAGAACCTGTGCCCTAGAGATGCTATCTCCTAGACTGCATGAGGCAAATGGATGCAGGAGACACAATGGCCAAAATGAAAATAGGAGCCACTGGTCCCATCTGTGGCCTCAACTTCAGATGCCTTCAGATGTAGTCAGTGTGACATGTGCTGGGGAGGATAGAGAGGGATGAGATGTGCAGGGAGGGGGCTCCTCAGGATGGTGGTCTGCCTGCTTGCCTTCACTTCTTGGCCTTGTCCTGGGCAGCCACAGCTTCCATGGCTTTACACACGGTCTCTTCATCCCTCAAGAACTGCATGGGCTTGATGGACTTCAAGTTCTTGTACAACTCATAGACAATGGGAATACTGGTTGGCAGATTCAGCTCCATGATAGCCTCTTCAGAGAGACCCTTCAGGTGCTTGACGATGCCCCCCCCCAACCCCTTGCAGGCTGTTGCCATGGGCTGCAATCACTACGTGTTTCCCCTCCTTGATCTGGGGAACAACTTCCTCATTCCAGAAGGGCAGAGCTCTGGCAATCGTGTCCTTCAGACTCTCACAGGAAGGCAGCTGGTCTTCAGTGAGATCTGCATACCTGCAATCCTTACCGATGCTGCTGTAGAAGGGATGGTCGGGCTCCATCGGCGTGGCGGGATGTCGTAGGAATGCCTCCAGATCTTCACCTGTGCCTCCGTGCTTGGCCGCAGTTTCTGCTTTGTTGAGGCCAGTGAGGCCCCTGTAGTGCTGCTCGTTGAGGCCCCATGTCCTCACCGCTGGCAGCCACATCTGGTCAATGGCATCCAGCACTGTCCAGAGGGTCTGGATCGCCCTCTTCTGCACTGAAGTGAAGCAGATGTCAAATTTGTACCCCGGATCTCGCAGTACGTGCCCGCTGTGCTTCACCTCCTCATGGCCCGCCGGGCTCAGGTTGGCGTCGTACCAGCCGATGAAGCGGTTCTCCAGGTTCCAGGCGCTGTCGCCATGCCTGATGAGCACCAGCTTGTAGGCGCACTTGGGAAGCTGCGTGGACTGGGCCACCAGCATGGCGGAGGGCTCGGGATGCTGCGTGGACTGGGGTTCGCCAAGATTCTGGAATCGCAGCCTATCCCCCCTCATCCCCCCACCCCTCCTGCGCACTCACGCCCCAGCTGGAAAATATTCATTTTTAATATATTTAACATTCAGTATGAAATTATGCCTAAAGTAACTAAAAGAAAATTCTGGCTTGAGGAGAATCTTCAATGATCATTTTAATTAACTTATAAATTGTATTTGTCTTTTCTGTTCTATTTTTAAAAGAACCCCTAAAAATAAAATTTTCAAAATTCTTACCTGTTTTTCTTGGTGTATTATGCATAGATCTTTTGGTTTCTTCTAATATATGCCCACCATATTCTGTGATGATCTGAAATTTAAAGTTGAGAATTTACAGATAAGAAATACACTTTTCTTCAAACATTGCAATAATACGATTTAATCATCCATATTCTTCAGCACATTTCAAGCTGAAAAATAAAAATCTCATTTAAAAAATGCATTTGTCTTGGGGACCAGCAGTTAGCGTAATGGCTGTCGCTGGACTCCCACGTAGTCGACCACAGTTCGCGTCCCAGACCTGGTGGCTTAAAACTCACACTGGGCACGTGTGCGTGCATGCCCAAGATCCCGAGAGGAA